TGAAAACTATATGATCTTGATAAGGACCATGGGGAGTTTCATTAAAAGAGACATCTTCATTTCTTTTGTGGTTTGCATTACTTGATATCAGAAGATGCGACTTTTCCAACAATCACATTCACACCTTTAATGGAAAACATACAGGTGAAACTGGACAAATTCGAATATCGTGCAAAAGTTCATTTATTTCAGTAATTCAACTTAAAAGGTGAAACTAACATATTATATAGACTCATTACATGCAAATTGAGATATTTCAAGCCTTTATTTGTTATAATTTTGATTATGGCTTACAGCTATGAAAACCATAAATTTAAAATTAGAATATTGTGAAAAGGTTTTCATAGCTGTATGCCATAATCATCAAAATTATAACAACTAAAGACTTGAAATATCTCACTTTGCATGTAATGAGTCTATATAATATATTAGTTTCACCTTTTAAGTTGAATTACTGAAATAAATGAACTTTTGCACGATATTCAAATTTTTCGAGTTTCACCTGTATATAGGATAAAGACACATTCATCATCATATCACAATATGACTATTCCATTTGATAATTATTATGTGGCAAAAATAAATAAATAAAACAATCTAATCTGGCTCTAGCAAATACGGCAACCATGGATTAAAGACCTGCCCTTCCAAAGCACTTTACTTGGCTAGGAATAAACTTACAAAACTGCCACAGCCATAAAGTCAGAAAGAGGAGAGAAACAAAGAGCCATGCTCCAGCACATCTTATCACACATTATGGGCTGTAAAACAAACCGAAAGACTCTTGAGCTCCTCAGGCGTGATTGGTATCTCAATTCACATGATTAGATTCAGCAGGTTAATGGTGTCACTCACACCAAACCTGCACAGGACGAGCGCAAAAATACCAAAATACCAGTACAACATAAGAATGTTACCATAGTTGACAAGTAACATTATGTAAATAAATCATATATCAGAGCGAAGAAAATAGCCTGTATATATGCAGGAGATACATTTGTATACAGGTCCTTCTCAAAAAATTAGCATATTGTGATAAAGTTCATTATTTTCCATAATGTAATGATAAAAATTAAACTTTCATATATTTTAGATTCATTGCACACCAACTGAAATATTTCAGGTCTTTTATTGTTTTAATACTGATGATTTTGGCATACAGCTCATGAAAACCCAAAATTCCTGTCTCAAAAAATTAGCATATTTCATCCGACCAATAAAAGAAGTGTTTTTAATACAAAAAAAAAAGTCAACCTTCAAATAATTATGTTCAGTTATGCACTCAATAGTCAATACTTGGTCGGGAATCCTTTTGCAGAAATGACTGCTTCAATGCGGCGTGGCATGGAGGCAATCAGCCTGTGGCACTGCTGAGGTGTTATGGAGGCCCAGGATGCTTCGACAGCGGCCTTAAGCTTTTCCAGAGTGTTGGGTCTTGCGTCTCTCAACTTTCTCTTCACAATATCCCACAGATTCTCTATGGGGTTCAGGTCAGGAGAGTTGGCAGGCCAATTGAGCACAGTAATACCATAGTCAGTAAACCATTTACCAGTGGTTTTGGCATTGTGAGCAGGTGCCAGGTCGTGCCGAAAAATGAAATCTTTATCTCCATAAAGCTTTTCAGCAGATGGAAGCATGAAGTGCTCCAAAATCTCCTGATAGCTAGCTGCATTGACCCTGCCCTTGACAAAACACAGTGCACCAACACCAGCAGCTGACATGGCACCCAAGACCATCACTGACTGTGGGTACTTGACACTGGACTTCAGGCATTTTGGCATTTCCTTCTCCCCAGTCTTCCTCCAGACTCTGGCACCTTGATTTCCGAATGACATGCAAAATTTGAGCAACAGTCCAGTGCTGCTTCTCTGTAGCCCAGGTCAGGCGCTTCTGCCGCTGTTTCTGGTTCAAAAGTGGCTTGACCTGGGGAATGCGGCACCTGTAGCCCATTTCCTGCACACGCCTGCGCACGGTGGCTCTGGATGTTTCTACTCCAGACTCAGTCCACTGCTTCCGCAGGTCCCCCAAGGTCTGGAATCGGTCCTTCTCCACAATCCTCCTCAGGGTCCGGTCACCTCTTCTCGTTGTGCAGCGTTTTTTGCCACACTTTTTCCTTCCCATAGACTTCCCACTGAGGTGCCTTGATACAGCACTCTGGGAACAGCCTATTTGTTCAGAAATTTCTTTCTGTCTTACCCTCTTGCTTGAGGGTGTCAATGATGGCCTTCTGGACAGCAGTCAGGTCGGCAGTCTTACCCATGATTGCGGTTTTGAGTAATGAAACAGGCTGGGAGTTTTTAAAAGCCTCAGGAAGCTTTTGCAGGTGTTTAGAGTTAATTAGTTGATTCAGATGATTAGGTTAATAGCTCGTTTAGAGACCCTTTTCATAATATGCTAATTTTTTGAGACAGGAATTTTGGGTTTTCATGAGCTGTATGCCAAAATCATCAGTATTAAAACAATAAAAGACCTGAAATATTTCAGTTGGTGTGCAATGAATCTAAAATATATGAAAGTTTAATTTTTATCAGTACATTATGGAACATAATTAACTTTATCACAATATGCTAATTTTTTGAGAAGGACCTGTATATGTCACTTGACGTTTTCCCCATGGACAAAATTATACAAATAAAGATGATAGGATTAATGATGTTGCCTTGACAAAGCCAACATGCTGTAATTTTATGAACTTAAAAATAAAATTTCAAAAGCATCATCCTGCAAGGCACAGTCCTTCAGCCGGTTCTGAATCTGATCGAAAATACAGATTTCACTTAATGTGCAGTTAAATACCATATAGACTTCCATTTCACCAGGTTTAGGATGATATCTATCTATCTATCTATCTATCTATCTATCTATCTATCTATCTATCTATCTATCTATCTATCTATCTATCTATCTATCTATATACCTCTCTGTCTATCTCTTCCTCTCTGTCTGTCTATCTATCTACCTCTCTGTCTATCTATCTGTCTATCTATCTACCTCTCTGTCTATCTCTCTCCCTCTCTGTCTGTCCATCTCTCTGTCTATCTTTCTCTCTGTCTGTCTATCTATCATCTATTTATCTATTGTTCTGTCCATCTCTCTCTCTCTCTCTCTCTCTCTCTCTCTCTCTCTGTATATCTGTCTGTCTAACGTTCTGTCATTCTCTCTCTCTCTCTCTCTCTCTCTCTCTCTCTCTCTCTCTCTCTCTCTCTGTATATCTGTCTGTCTAACGTTCTGTCATTCTCTCTCTCTCTCTCTCTCTCTCTCTCTCAGTGTCTATCTCTCTCTCTCTGTCTGTCTATCTCTCTATCTTCTATATAAAGAATTTGTCAAGACAGTATTTAAAGTTTGTCCTGACAAACTATCCTTTTCAAGTTTAGCATAGTCCTCCTAAAAATGTGTTTGGAGCTGTATTATAAAAAACGTGAAATCGCCAAAGCCAATACAGATTTTACAGTTTTTCTCAATCGCTTTGGCTCAATTCTCAAATGAGACTTTTTTTTCTCAAAACAATAAGTTCAGATCTCTGAACAATTAGTTTCTTGTTCACAGCAGATTTGAATTTCTTTTTGATTTAAGCAAATTGCATGTGCTTTGGCACATGTGTGCCGAAGAGTAAGTACACTTATCTATCTACCATTTGAACAATGACTAAATGCACACGGCTTGTTGATCAAAACTGATGAGTTGATTCTCAGTGAAATTGTAAATCTCTTCACAACTTCTAAACGTTCTTTCATCGTGTGAGCCATCACATGCTAAATGATCCATTCAGTGATCAAAATCTGTCAGACATATTATATTCCATAAATATTTATTTGTTTAAACTAATTGTAATGAAATAAGAATCACAATCTTATCAACCAATCAAGTTTGGATATGGAGTTTGCTGAGCACAATCACCATCATTTTTGAACATGGAGGAACATCACATCTCTGAACAGCAGCAGCTACATCAGTAGTACTGTAAAAATACATATGTATTCATACAGTACTGATGTAGCTGCTGCTGTTCAGAGATGTGATGTTCCTCCAACCAAACTCATCTTTTTTCTAGAAATGTTACATGTAAACAAAAAACTCTTGTCATGGAAAAGCAATAGGAAGATATGTAACTAAGAAGATATATTGTATCGTGTTAGAGAAAGACATAATAGTGTGTAAAAATGAACAAGCAACTGAGAATATTCAGTTTACATGTAACACATTGCTGCAAAAATAAATGGACTGTATAAATACAAATACAATTTTATTTTTTTGTACTACATTGTTGACTTTTCCCAGTCAATTTTTACCTACTCTCTGAATCTGTATTTACAAAGACAAAACGGACATTTATGTACAGTAAAGTAAGCAGTTAGAGTCAACAAAAAAGTTGGAAAAAAAAACATGAAACTTGTAGGCTATATAACAAATATTTCCATTGTGAAAAAGCATCTAAGCATTTTGACCAGTGTGGCTCACGCACGAAGACAAAAATACTCTATTTTGGTGGCACACAATAACTAGGTTTTGAAGCATGAATTAAATGTTTAGTCAATTTATGCTTCAAAACCTAGTTACTACTAAAACCTTACTACGTTTGCAGACATGCCATAGAGTTCTGATGTTCCAGCAAAGAGTTGTGACACCTAAACTTTTGAGAGAAGTTTAGAGAATGTGAAGACTGTTTCGAAAAATGTGCCAAAGCGATTGAGAAAAACTGTAAGACTTGATTATCGCCATTATGACGTCACTAACAATAAGCCTCTTAGACATTAAATTCCCTCATATTTATTTTATACAATAGCAGGTGTTAAAAGTTTTGACGCTTCGTCTCTCACCATTTTAAACGAATGTTTTCCATGTCAGCAGCAGCAGCATCATCATTCAGGCTGTAGGCCTCACAGAGATGTTGTGCGATGGGAGGGAGCCCTCTAATGGCTCAGTGCTGATAATGGCCGCTGCAGGCCCTAGGCCCAGATAAAAGTACGAGCGACAAAAATACACAATAGGCAAACACAAAATCTTTCAATCACGTTTTAATGAATCTGACAGGCCGCTTTTGTCAATGGCGGTACCTGAGAGGGCTTTTGGCATATGCTATGTGCAAACCATAAAGACATAATCAGGTGCAGACATGAGAAGAAGAAAAAAAAAAACAGACACATGCAAATTAATTCTACTCCGAAATAGCAGAACAGCAGACAGGAAGACGACAAATACATCTGTTGTGCGATCAGACCTTACTAATTACATTCATAACCTGTTCTGCAGACGATTACATGAAAAGACTTGACGACAAGATGTTATTGGCTTGATGGTGTTAGTATTTGATGGAGTTAGTATTTTGTAATATGACTTACATGTGATGTTTTTGCTCTTAAACTTAATTATATGTGCATCTCGATTACATACATCTAATCCATTGTATATTCAGATAAGACATTTCCAAAAGTCAATACTAGCTCTCTCAAAACACAATACCTCAAACATCAAATGAAAGGAAAATATACATTTACTGTAGAGGTAATCAGACCAAAACATTCCTTCTAGAACAAAATGCTTCCAATCAAACTATACAGATCCACCTCCATACAACCAAATGTGCTTCTATGCTTTGCCCCAATACCCCAAAAATGACATACAGCGCATGGCATTCAAAATATTACAGCACTAAGTCACCAAAAATATATCCATTTATAGCAGACATATGTGCTGGTCAATACTCACATTTTCTGACTTCCATAATTATGCTTTTTTGTTCGTTTTTTTTATTTTATTTTTACAACATATGTGCTAGGAAAAACCTGCAAGGACCATTAACAAAAACTTGGGGCCTCTAATGAAAAGCAATTTAACTGCAACATGTACACAAGTAGTATGGGATATGATCCATGCAGTTGTGCACAGCCAGCATAGTCATGGTATGGTCTCGTTTAATATTTCGTTGATGACATCAGCCACCAGTGCATCACAGTCTTCACAGGAGATACATTCTACGGTCTGGTCCGGTCTGGACTCAGCCAGACTTGAAGAGGAGAATGGCCACCTGGCCCAAGTAGAAGTAGATGAAGTGTTTTGTCTCATGGGTCACGTAGCTGCCGAAGTTCCTTCCCACAATGCAATGCCACGTAGGATTGTATTTCTTATCGAACTCCTGTAACATGAGACGACATGGTTTTAGCACAAGGAAATGCAAACGGAACAAAAATACACGTTGGGAGTCTAAGAGTCTAAGATAACAGTATGGCTCAAATCTCACCTTTTTGATGTATGCAGCAATGTCCTTCTCTATGTTGTATTTCTCCATGGCCTGCGTAGCACAGTCCACGGCATCCTGCTGCATGTCTTCAGACATGTCGGCATTCTTGATCACAGCCTTCCTGTCAGTCATGGTGCCTGAAAACATAGAAACAAACTTAGTTAAGTCTCCACTTCCACTCGAAACAGTGGGGCCTTTCATGGGTGCTTCTCCCCTGACAATGGCAGGTACATTCCTGACAGAAAGCCATCAACTGAGAGGATCTGATTTGTTAAGGTAATTCAAATCAGATGTCACTAGATACTTTCATGAGAACCAAGCAGGTCTTTCAATCAAACACTAAAACCATCATTTGCAGCTAGTCAATGAAGGCCATATTTTCATACTACTAATGCTAGGCCCAGAGAACCTAGGCAAACTGTGTTCAAATTAAGTAAAATCCTGTATAAAAGTACTTAACTAGCAATGCATGTGCTCCAAATGCATGCAAAACTACTATAAAGCAGGCAGCACTGAAAGATCATCCACAGCTATGTCAGCACTTCACACCATGGTTATTTAGCAGTGAAACTAATAATCATGGTGGCAGTCGACCAAATGACGGGTTACGGTCTGGATCATCGATCAAGACATTGACAGGTCAGGATGGAGGAATGCTACGTCACACCTCCATTCACAGCGTGCGCGTTTGCTCCAGCAGATCAATGAAGCTCAGGTGCACGCGGCGTTCTCATCGTAACGTCTTCATTTCAAAGTCAAATACATCTTTGCTAAAGCGATATTGTCCCCCCCAAAAAACAACCGCGATTTAAATTTCCAAAACGAATGTATCCGGCTCAAAATACATGCTAGATCATTCTTTGTACATCACTCGATATGGTAAACTATTCCACTCACCTGTCAACAATATTTGGCAAGAGAAATGTGCAATTCAAAACAGTCGCCGTACGAGCTTTCGTCGTTTCGGGTGTCCCTTTGACGCTAGAAGAAGAACATAAGGATCAAGTCAAACGCTGACTGGTGCCCGCGCTAAAATCCCTGGCTCTTCACAATGCCGTCCTACACAGCGCTCGCCATTGGCTGCAGACCAGCCGCTCCCTGCGCCCCTCTGCCAGCATCTTATTTCATCCCACAATGCATCTTTTACCGGAGACCAGAGGGAAATGTGCTTGTTTGGTTATAAGCCTCAGGACTGTGTGTAGGCCAGGAAATGGCTTAAATTAGATTCGGTGGACCATCACAATGAATCACGTCACAATAAGTTATTGCAAGGTTAGAGAGGTACCTCATGGTCAGTCCCACGCAGTGTAATGTAACTAGAAATGAATAAATGTAATGATTCTGGTTCCGATTCTTTTAGAATTTTATAGAATTATGTGGGGGGGAATGCCATTCTAATGAGATTTCCGATTTCTACAGAATAAGAATTCATATTTAATTCAGTTCTTGAAAAAAAATGCACTTCCATACTACAGGTAGTAAAAAAAACAACCTATTCAATTAATTATTCTAACTACATAATAGAAATACTATTGCTTACTGTAGTTTATAAAATTCCACTGATTGCAAAGAAACTCAAGTTGGCATCAGTCAGTATTGACACGGATTTAAGTCTCGACATAACAGTTCTAGTTCATTTCACGTTGGACATGACTAATATAATAACTAGCGGTTCATTCAGCGACCGCTTTAAGAATGTTTTGATTCACAAAAACAGAGCCGGTTCACGAGTTATTCTTTTGAGAATGAATCTATTTCTTACATAATTCCTTATCATAACTGCGGTTTACAGTCGCTAAGCAACGTTTTTTTGTCTTCACATCCCAAACATGAATGACTAACATTCTCATGTAGAATACCAAAGTATAGTTTGAAAAATGTACGTTTCTGCTGTTCATTAAAATGTTTTGGACATTTGGTTTTTATAAATAAAAAACAGCAAGCAGAAACGTTCTTTAATTTCTTGCATTCCACCTGAACCATACAGGCTTGAAACACCATACATTTTAGTTACAATTTTAGGTCAGTCAGAATTGTAACTTTATATTCAACCATTCAGAACCATTAAAAAGCAAATGAATGCATCATACAATGTTTTGTACCAATGAAACCTTTATTTAGGCAAAAAAACGTCACTAAAAGAAACAAAATGCTAGTGATGTTAAAGCATCTACTGTCCACATTGGGACAGTGTAAATCTAAAAATGCCTGAGTATACCCCCCCCAACCCAAAGGTACTTCTTCCCATTTACCATACGGTTCCTGTCGACTCCATCCCCACAGATTGCTCCAGCCTCTGCTCCTCCAATGTGTTAAATGTGAAGGGCCAAAACGTCTACATTTTCCACTGAGGTATAAAGAAAATAAAGGGGGCAGGGAAGTACTTTTGAACTGTGGTCTTAAAATCCTATGATCCTGGGAGCAATTGATCCTGTTCCATGTATCCAGCAATCCCTATCCTATCTTCATTATGTACTGATCCCAGTGATCCGGCATCCACTGAGCCTCTCCTCCAATCCAAACCTTAAGATACCAGCAAAATCAAGACAAAGGAGGTAAAGAGTTAGAATCAAATCCACTCAAACCTGCCTTTCTTTGATGCATGCATACAGCATTAAGGCCAAAACAGACTAACCTAACACTAAGACTGATTCAAAGTTGCATCTATGAACACAAACCCAACTAGTACATCTTTACAATGCAAACAATGATGCCATCTGACGTGAAAATTACCTAAAATTGGTAGTTACCCAAATAATGTCCTGTAAGCCAAGAATAGTATTTTTCTAGATGTAATGTAACATTTTTCTAGTGCTCAAATTCACCCTTTTACGCAACAAAGTATAGATTTAGTAATCCTTTATTACAAAGCATCAGTTCTGTGTCACGTCTAGAGGAAGACAGCATAAAACAGTTGTTGTGGAACCCACTATCCCATTAAACATACATGGCATTTACAAAAATATTGGGAGCCATTACATAACCCTTTGTTTGGTCTATGAAAAAGACGTCCACTTTGTATATAAAAAAAAGTGATGGGCAAAACAAAAGTCAGTCAGTTAAAAACGTACGTTTAAAAATAACCAAATGGATGGGAGGGAGAGAAGACGGAACATAGGACATTCTAAAAGATCATAATAGTCTCACAAACCAAGACGGGGGGATTAAAACATATGGGGTTTGTGATGTGTAAAGACTGTAAAAAAAAAAAAAAAAAAAAAAAAAAAATGGTTCACGGCCTCCACCAAAGAGGTGAGAAGAGTGGAGCGCTTTAGGAGCGAGAGCGGGAACGGCTATGGCGAGGGGAGTACTGCGGGGATCCTCGGCTGCGGCGTGGGGAGTAGCTTCGGCTACGGTTGTTGCTGCGGCTGCGACTCCTGCTGCGACTGCGGCTCCTTGACCTTGATCTTCCATAGCTCGGACTGCGGGGACCGTCCACCTTCACGCGGATGTACGCAGTTTCTCCCTGGCAGAGAAAGAACTTTCCACTGAGCAAATGTAACGTATAAATCATGCTAACATTATATATCACTATACTTACCAGACTTTGGTTGCCCTCAAAACACCAGTATTCCCATTTCCATTAACCAGTAAGCACTGACTACACAAGATGTCTAGTTTGACATGGTTTACCTTTGGCATTCACAAGGAGAGGTCAACCGATACTGGATTTTGCTGATAATAACTACGTTTGGAAATCTGTCCGATAAGAGATTAATTGAACAATAGTATTTAAAATCAGTAATATGAACGAAAACTTAACGAAAATTAGTGCTGAACTGTTTGAAAAAAATTAACAAAAGACTTAATGTTTTGTAATAAATTAAAATAGTTTTTCAATTCAAAAACAGAGAAAAGAAAATTAGTTTTTCAGAATGTAACTTTTAAAATGGCATGTACCAAATTTCTCATGTATTTTACCCTGCGCTTACATTTTTCCACATAACTACTTATATGTTTTTGTAAGAAAAAAAGTTTGTAAAAATAAAATCAGCGATTTTATATATATAGCTGGTGCTTTGTCTTATGAAGCAACTGGATGAGCCAACGCAAAAAAAAAAAAAACAGGCAGCATTTGCACATTAACAAGGTTATTAACATGAAATTGATTCATTTAAGATTAATACTGTAGAACCCTCCAGCCATGTAAAATACGCATAAATGTATAAAAAAGGTCAGCAACAATTTTCCCCCTCAACAACCGCAGATTAAGTAGCAAAAACAATAGCCAACTGCTATTCACATGGACAGGTTCACTTACAACATAGATCCACCTTTTGCTTATCCAGGGATTTTGCTTACCTTAAGAATATTCCAATGCTAAGCATATCCAAATGTTGGGATTAAAATCTCAAACCTACCTCATGCGACCGGAATTTTGTGTTATCCAGTTTGCGAACGGCGTAGGTCATGTCTTCTTTGCGAACAAACTCCACCACACCAGTTCCATCTCGGAAAACGTCAGCGTAACATACATCACCTGCTTCACGCATGTGATCCTTCAGATCCTGCCAGCTACCACTCGGTGGAAGCCCTGGAATGAAATACAACAGTCAATACAACTTCAAATGGCTCTTTAAGTAAGTAGAACTCTGACGCTACTTTACCTGAAACGATAACTCTGTACTCCGAACGTCTGGATGGGGGTCCATATCTACCCCTAGGAGCCCCACCGCCACCGCCGCCACCACCACCTCCTCCGCCGCCGCCGCCACCTCCTCCGCCGCCTCCGCCAAAACCACCTCTCCCCATACCTCTCCCGCTTCTCGGAAACTCCACTCGAAGACGATAGCCATCGTAGTCATAGCCATCACGAGCATAAACGGCATCTTCAGCATCTCTGAAGGAAGTGAAGCAAGAAAAGCATGTAAATATCAATGTCATGAAAAGCCAGTCAGTGCAGCTAGGGGTCGCACTGATAAACTACTAACAGGGTCCTAATCCTCAACCACTAATCTGACCAGCTAGTTAAGAACACATCATTGTGAATTGTATTCCCTTTTAAATTGGACGTCATTACATATTAGACAGGAACAACACAGATAATATATTTTCATTTATAAAGTCCTATTAGGTTTGTTACCCAGATAAGAGTAGCTGCAAAATCGTGTTAGTACATATACAACCAGATCATCGAATCATATTTTGATTATCCCTAGAAAGAAAACGGTTTATGGTCGTGCTGCTCCAAATGATTGGAATGTGCTACAAAAGTCATTGAAATATGAACAAATATTTCAATCACTGCATTTAAAAAACTACTAGGGAGTGTTTTTAAATCACTGCCTGTAAATGTTTTAATTGAATGTATGTGTATAGCAATGTATGGTTTTTATGTCTTTCAGGAAATTTTAACTCTCCTGCCAGGCTGCTGTTGAAAATAAAAACTTGTTCTTAAGTGACTTGCCTGGATAAATAAACCTAAACATTAAGAGCCTTAATATTAAAAGAAAACTGCTTAAAAATACAGAACAGGTCAAACACTTGTTTTTCAGTAAGCACCTCGCTGCAGCTAATTTGAAATCAAGCTTAAGCCATTTGTCAAGTTATAAAAAATTTCCATTTTCAAACCTAGGGTAGTTATTAAACCCTAACAGAGAAAATGAAACTCAAGTTTGCACATTAAACACTTTAGATCAAAACGGATAGTTGAAGGTTGCAAAGCCTACTCTTATTACGAAGACAAGCATTAATGAATATACAATTGAGCTCTAGAAACATGGTGAGCACGGCTAAGCTAATTAGCATGTTAGCACAGAAAACAAAAGTAAAACGGTTAGTATACAAATATATACACACACACGCTTTTTCACACAGAGAGAGATACTGTGAAAATGCAGTGACAAAAGTAACAGGTTTTTAAAATTTGGATCATTTAAGAAGTCAAATCTGTACGTTGAAACAAACAGATTAGCTTTTTAGCTAAAGGCTCAAGGTTCAGTTTTACACACCTGGGGTCTTCAAACTCGACAAAGGCGAATGGCGGTCCGCCACGTCGGTTTTTCAGATCGATATCCCGAATGGCTCCGTACTTATAAAAGACATCTTCGACATCTTTGGTGCGTATATCAGGGGGCAGATTGCCCACATAGATGCGGCAGTCATTACTCCCAGCAGGGCCGCGGATCACACCACCACCAGACATCTCTACACAGATATACTTTCACCTTCCTACTAAACAGAGAAATTACACTTTTCAAGTCTGATAAACAAAGGATAATTGTTTAACTTTCGAAATACATTGAATAAACCTAGTTACTAGTCAAATACAAAACAAAGAGACTTACTATTGTTTGAAGCGCCGCTCGCACGCGCACTCCGAGAGCGTGTTTTCTCTGGAATCGCGCGGGTCTCTTCCTCTTCAGCAGGCGCGCTGTAGCCAACGCGGAGGAATCTAGAGAAACGGTCTGTTCGGCGGGTAATGGGGTAGCTACATCCGCGAAGCGATATAGTTCGTATAGGGATGTCTAAAATAATAAAAATGTTTTATGTGGGTGGGGTAATTAGTATTAATAAGGAACGAAAAAGCAGTCAAACTTTTATTTACAGTCACGTGGTTTATTCTGGTCCTGGCGTGAAGTCACTGCTACTTTTTGCACCTGCTGCTGTGGTAAACTGTAGAGTACCGAATTACACAGCGACAAAATAATGAAACATTTAAAATTTATATTTTTAATTATTTATATATAATTTATTTAGGCCAACACACACACACACACTTGTGTGTGTGTTGCTCATCAGCTTATAAATCATACTAAGTGATGTTTTTTGAAAATGTACAAATGCAGAAAGTTTTCTGTGGTGGGTAGGTTTAGGGGTAGGGTTAGTGTAAGGGGGTATAATACACATTGTACAGTATAAAAACCATTATATCTATGGAAATTCCCCATAAAACATGAAAACGCAATGTGTGTGTGTGCGTGTGCACTCAAAGATTACAGCAAACTTTATTGCAGCATTTTCAGTTTGTATTAATTAATAATTTAGTTTTAACTTTGGTCAATAATGCATTCAAGCCAAACATCCTGAATTAGAGACTCATAATAAATCACAAACTCGTAATCCACGCGGTTATTCTTCATCAGAGCAAAGGCTTTATTAAAGCTTTAGATGACGAACGGTTAGATTACAGAAGCGTATAGCACAGATCCTTATAACTATCCTAAGAAACCCTTACATTTTGACAGTGAGTGATAAGGATCAATATAACACAGTCAACTGTAACTTTATTAATAAACTTGTCAGTTTAATCATTATTTTTCTAAAGAACTGTCTCAGCAACAGAAGCTAATTTTACAATGTTTTTAAGACAAGCATGAGGACACCGCACATTTCCACATCCTCAGAAACTTACTTAGCAATCACTTTCATGTGCTGTTTTACATCACATCAACATCACGTTTAATAATTAATCTACATATGTTTCAGAGTTTTATATGGAAGTGGCAGTGAAATTTGCTAGCTTTCAGCTAATGCTGGAATATGGGAATCAACAGCATTTCAATATGCATAGCTGGAAAGATAATGGGATAGACCAATGGCTCCACCGCTGTCACCACAAACTGTGTACTTTCCTTGGGATGCCAGACTGTTGATCTGAGGACAAAAAAGTAGAGAAGTGATTAGAAAGAAAGAAAGAAAGAAAGAAAGAAAGAAAGAAAGAAAGAAAGAAAGAAAGAAAGAAAGAAAGAAAGAAAGAATAAACAAACATCTATCTATCTACAGTATATCTATCTATCTATCTATCTATCTATCTATCTATCTATCTATCTATCTATCTATCTATCTATCTATCTGTCTGTCTGTCTGTCTGTCTGTCTGTCTGTCTGTCTGTCCGTCTTCTTTCTATCTATCTATCTATCTATCTATCTATCTATCTATCTATCTATCTATCTATCTATCTATCTCTGTCTGTCTGTCTGTCTGTCTGTCTGTCTGTCTGTCTGTCTGTCTATCTATCTATCTATCTATCTATCTATCTATCTATCTATCTATCTGTCTGTCTGTCTATCTATCTATCTATCTGTCTGTCTGTCTGTCTGTCTGTCTGTCTGTCTGTCTATCTGTCTATCTATCTATCTATCTATCTCTGTCTGTCTGTCTGTCTGTCTGTCTGTCTGTCTATCTATCTATCTATCTATCTATCTATCTATCTATCTCTGTCTGTCTGTCTGTCTGTCTGTCTGTCTATCTATCTATCTATCTATCTGTCTGTCTGTCTGTCTGTCTATCTATCTATCTATCTGTCTGTCTGTCTGTCTGTCTGTCTGTCTGTCTGTCTGTCTGTCTGTCTGTCTGTCTATCTATCTATCTATCTATCTATCTATCTATCTATCTATCTATCTCTGTCTGTCTGTCTGTCTGTCTGTCTATCTATCTATCTGTCTGTCTGTCTGTCCGTCTTCTTTCTTTCTATCTATCTATCTATCTATCTATCTATCTATCTATCTATCTATCTATCTATCTATCTATCTATCTATCTATCTATGTCTGTCTGTCTGTCTATCTTATCTATCTATCTATCTATCTATCTATCTATCTATCTATCTATCTATCTATCTCTGTCTGTCTGTCTGTCTGTCTATCTATCTATCTATCTGTCTGTCTATCTGCCTGCCTGTCTGTCTGTCTGTCTGTCTGTCTGTCTGTCTGTCTGTCTGTCTGTCTGTCTGTCTGTCTATCTATCTATCTATCTATCTATCTATCTATCTATCTATCTATCTATCTCTGTCTGTCTGTCTGTCTGTCTGTCTATCTATCTATCTGTCTGTCTGTCTGTCCGTCTTCTATCAATCTATCTATCTATCTATCTATCTATCTATCTATCTATCTATCTATCTATCTATCTATCTATCTATCTATCTATCTATCTATCTATGTCTGTCTGTCTGTCTGTCTATCTTATCTATCTATCTATCTATCTATCTATCTATCTATCTATCTATCTATCTATCTATCTCTGTCTGTCTGTCTGTCTGTCTATCTATCTATCTGTCTGTCTGTCTGTCCGTCTTCTTTCTATCTATCTATCTATCTATCTATCTATCTATCTATCTATCTATCTATCTATCTATCTATCTATCTATCTATCTATCTATCTATGTCTGTCTGTCTGTCTATCTTATCTATCTATCTATCTATCTATCTATCTATCTATCTATCTATCTATCTATCTATCTATCTATCTATCTATCTATCTATCTATCTATCTATCTGTCTGTCTATATATATAGTTGTCATGCCTCTGCTCGTTTGATGAATTCATCGGTTGCGGCGGTCTCGTTTTCTCTCTGTCCACGCCAGGTCTTCAGAGCTGAGGCCTGCAGAGCTCGGCCGAACGAGAAGGAAAGAGCCCAGGGCTTCACCAGCGGGCAGTTATTGATGGCATTTAGGTTAATGGAGGCCTCTTCCTCACTTTGACCTCCTGAGAGAAGGGTCACCCCTGAAAGTGCAGGAAGTCTGTAATTACACAGTGTTCAGACTCGTCTGTGAATTTGAAACCAGGTTTACAGTTTTTAATATATCCTTACCCGTGACAGCAGGTGGGACAGTACGACGCAGAGCAGTGACTGTTGCCATGGCAACCTCCTCTGCACTGTATTTGGTTGGGCAGCTGTGTCCAGGGGTTACCATGTTGGGCTTGAGTAGTGTGCCTTCCAGATACACGTGATGATCAAACATGGCTTTGTAGACCGCTGCAAGCACCTGAATCAATGACAGTGAATCTAAATTGGTGGTTGATTATGATTTCACTTTTCTAACTTTAGTTAGTGTGTAATGTTGCTGTTTAAGCATAAACAACATCTGTAAAGTTACAACGCTCAAAGTTCAAAGCAAAGGGAGATATTTGCTTTTAAAGAAATTCCTTTTAACAAACGGCTGGTAGGGACTACACGAGCTTCCTCCCGGGTTAGTGACATCACCAACCCTAACAATGTACATAAACCCCGCCCCCGGGAACACGATTTATAGATTATTATGACAGAATATGCTAATCAATGACTAGAAGATAACTACACATCAGCTACATAAATTCATCAACCAACCATTCTGAAATGTCCTGTTGCATTCTACGTTGTCACTTCTTCTTGAGTCTCTCCATCATTGTCTGACTACGGTTTGAACATAAAAGGCTAAAAGTTTTTGAAATTTTCAGTGCATGTCTGTGTGAGTGCAAGCTGTTGTAGCTCCGCCCCCTGTGCCGGGAGCAGCAGCTTATTTGCATTTAAAGGGACAGACACAAAAACGGTGCGTTTTTGCTCACCCTCAAAAAGTGATGATTTTAACATGCAATTTAAAAAATATCTGTGGGGTATTTTGAGCAAATATTTCACATACACACTCTGGGGACATCAGAGACTTATTTTACATCTTGTGAAAAGGGCATTATAGCTACCACCCCTTTAAATCATATGATTATTCCAGCAATTTTAAATGTGTCAATAATATTAAAGGGGTGGATGAAAAAGATCCAAGACTCAACCTCATGTTGTTCCAAAACAGACTGAGTCCTATGGACAAAAATAGATTTATGTTCCACAGAAAAAAGAAAGTCATACAGGTTTGGAATGACATGAATGGGAGTAATGGATAACATAATTTTCATTTTTGAGTAAACTATCCCTACAAGAAGTACAAAAAAAGTAAGAATAGAAACCAACCCTCTCTGTGACAAACTGGCAGCGCTTTAAATCATGGTCTCCATCAGGCAGGATCTCAGGTTCCACGATGGGTACAATCCCATGCTGGAAGATCAGTTGGGAACATTAACATATGATCTTTAACATATTTCTATTTGTATTTTTCTCTCAATTTCGCCTCATTGACTTTTACCTGCTGACAAATAGTAGCATAGCGAGCAAGGACTTTTGCATTTTCTGTAATGCACAGGTTTGACGGGGTGGTATCACTGATTTTCATCACACAGCGCCACTTTGCAAAGTCAGCTCCATCCTTTTTATACTGAGCGCAGCGTTCTGAGAGCCCATCCAGACCTGTGGAGACAGTAGCGCTACATTTTTATAATGTTAAAATTCTAGGTACTATCATATGTTCTGCCTCAAAATGACCATAATTGGATTCAATACATTTCAACAAAAAAGAAAAACAAATCATGTAAAACAGGAAACTTTTAACAATTATACTTCTCACACATTACATCCAAACAAAGTTAACATAACTATTTTTTTAACATTTGTTTTTCCACAGTATTATGAGTATAGGTAAGTATAATAAATATATATATATATACTGTATATATATATTTTTTTATTGCATTTTTAACAAATATTTTTGTGCGTTTTCCTGAAGCTCAAACAGTGGACCATGATGCTAGCAAAATCCACATGCATGAACTGATAAAAATATATGCATTCACCTCACCATAATACTGTATTTTGTTTCCCAAATATAAACAAATGTAAAAAAAATCCTCACAGGGTATACATAAAATACATTAAAAAATATATATATTTTGGGTCTGTGCACCTCCTTTTAACCATGACATTTGCAGATAAAATTGTCACACAGTCACACAATTTCAAGAAACCAGCATTTTCAAGAAAAGAAAATTCAATAAGCAGATATCTGGATCCAGAGAACGGATGTTTTTGATATACCTTGTGTAGTGGTCTCTCCATTAGTCCCTGGCAAGGGGACTACACCTTTATCAACCTGTGAAGAAAGGGCAAAAGGTTTTTACAAATATAACATTTTTAATTCAGCTCATTGGCTTAAACGCACTGTCAGAAAAAAAATGGCAAAAATGGTATCTTTAGAAGCACAGCAGCTTATCACTGGGGCAGTACCTTTAAAGGGATACTCCATCCAAAAATAAGAATTCTGTCATCATTTACTCACCCTAAAGTTGTTGCAAACTTGTATGAGTTTCTTTCTTCTGCTGAACACAAAGGAAGATATTTTGAAGAACTATTGTAACCAAACAGTTGTTTGGCACCATTGACTTCCATAGTAGAAAAAAATATACTATGGAAGTCAATGGTGCCAAAGTTCCAATCGTTCTTCAAAATATCTCCCTTTGTGTTCAGCAGAAGAAAGAAACTCATACAGGTTTGCAACAACTTGAGGGTGAGTAAATGATGGCAGAATTTTCATTTTTGGATGGAGTATCCCTTTAAAGGAATCGTTCACCCAAAAATGTAAAATCATCTCACCCTCAAGCCGTCCTAGGTGTACAGGACTTTCTTCATTCAGACGAACACAATCAGAGTTATATGAAGTAATATCATTCCTAGCTTTATAATGGCATTGAATAGTGCCCGAGTTTTTGAAGCTCAGAAAAGTGGATCCTTCCATCATAAAAGTAATCCATACGACTCCATTGGGTTAATAAAGGCCTTCTGAAGAAGAGAAGCGATGGGTTTTTGTAAGAAAAATATCCATAACTTTTTAAACTATAATCACTGGCTTCCAGCAACGGCAATACGCGTGTTTACAAGAGAGTCGAGTTCTGGTGGAAGGGTGACGTATGACGGAGGGCGCAGGCGTAGCGTAAGCTCAGGGGAGAATTGACGAACGCAGCGGATAGAGCAAAACAAAACACTTTTAAAAAAAAAAATGTTGGAGGATTTCGACATAAGAGAAGAGGAGCTTGAGTCTTCAGGTCAGAGGTCACCCTTCCGCGGGAACTCAACTCTCTCGTAAATGCGCGTATACGGCTGTTCCTGGACACCAGTGATTATATTTTCTAAAGATTTAAATATGGATATTATTCTTACAAAAACCTATCGCTTCGCTTCTTCAGAAGGCCTTTATTAACCCACTGGAGTCATAAGAATTACTTTTATGATGGATGAATGCGCTTTTCTGAGCTTCTAAAACTCGGACACCATTGAATGCATATAAAGCTTGGTAGAGCAAGGATATTATTTAATACAACTCTGATTGTGTTCGACTGAAAAAAAGAAAGTCATGTACACCTTTGGATGGCTTGAGGGTGAGTAAATTATGGGACAATTTTCATTTTTGGGTGAACTACTGGAGCCAACTGTGTACCTTATCTACCCTAACAGGTGCATATTCATACCAGAGTAATAAGGTTTCCAATATGAATCTTTTAGAGGTAAATATGGTACAAAGTTGTCCTTTGAAGGGCACTGCCTAAGTGGCAAGCTGTTGTACCTCTAAAAATAACATTTCTGAACTAATGAATACGAAATGCAAAAATGAAGTTGGGATTGGGAAATGTTGCAAGCCAGATTCAAACAGCACCAAGGCTCAACATGTCAAAGCAAATTGCTTACAGCTATGCCAGTAAACCTAGGTGAGACTTCATACCTTGATCCCGATAGTGATGCCCTTGTCCTTTATCATCTTAACGAACGGGATGCCATCATCAGAGTTCTGATAGAGTGTTTCGTGGAAGAAGATCACTCCACCGATGCAGTTATCAATGCGGTCATCAGCGGTGAAGAGCACCTGACGGAAGAGACGGCGGTTCTCCTCGTTGTTCTCTACCCCTATCTGGTTCAAACGCTTCCCCATGCTGCCTGTTAGAACGTGCACAAAACCAAAGTGAGTTCTTGCGGTTTTCTTTGAGATTGCAATTTCTGTCGAATAACTGGAGTAAGTCCCACTAACCTATGGACTCGTCTGCAGCTAGGATGCCTTTCCCTGGTGACACTATACGCAAAGCTATCTCATGTAGCTCCTTCTTTTTCTCAGTGGTGAGGGGAGGAAACTGATGGGTCATCCTAAACCTTCTGATACAACCTGAGGATACAGTAAGAGTAAATGAACACTACAAAACCAAAATGGGATTTCACCATTGCCTTCCTGCTGAAGTCATCTAGGATTCATATGGTTCACATACTACACTGTAAGAAAAATGTTGTAGAAAGCAGATAATGTGCTAATAATCACCATTATCTTCAATGTTGAATTTATGGACATTTCCTTCAAAAACTTAAAACACAAAACAATGCGTAATTCAAAATGATGCCACAGAAGGATCATTTTTGGTTCCCCATAGAAACCTTCAGTGAACAGTTCTTAAAAGAAACATTTTTCTATTAGTGTGAAGAACATTTTAATAATCTAAAGAATTATTTTCCACTATAAAGAACCTTTTGAGAAATGGCAAAGTTACATAGATGTTAAAGACTTTACATGGAAACATAATACGCCAATAAAGAACCTTTAAAGACCATTGAAAAACAATGCGGAAAAATTGGGCTCTAATTTTACAGACTTTTCTTAGACTGGAAAACCTGGAAATATCAGGGAATTAAGAATTGTAAAAATTTCTATTCTAGAAAATTTAATTCTATTCTAGTCTATGCCCAAATTTAGAACATTTAATCGGTTAGAAATTGGTTTCTGTAAGTTCAATCTCTGGAAAATCCAATAAACATATTCTTGAAGATTTAACCCACCCCCCCCCCCCCCCCCCCCCTCTAAGGCAAAGTTGTACTTTTTAAATGAAACAGCTCCTAAACCAACCAACTATTCTGTTCAGAAATGCCCAGCATTCACTTTCACAAGAGCTTAACTGATATCACTCTTTCAACTTTGTTATCTGCAACCACAACTGAAGCACATAGATTCACTGTTTACAAGCATAAACTACACATAAACGACTCTCTTTATGAATAACAAAGTTGCCAAATTACTGCAAAATGTTATTTTAAGAGTTCTCAAATTTGTCAACTTCTTCTACTTGAAAACCTTTTAAACCTTTAGTAGAATTTAAGCACATTTACAGCATCTGGAAACTGATCATTATTCTCAGCATTCAAAAGCATTTTCGAAATGGTAACTCGCTTGTAAAAACACAACTTTTTAGTAACTTTTTTGCTCCACTGCAAATTTCACAAATAAATTGTTATCCAGAATGGTCAAGGCAGTAAATTCAACAGATGGAACGACAGTGATACTTGCCAAGTCAGAGCAGACCGAAGAACTCAGACCAGAAGGGCTTTTTCCAACAGACGAGATGAGACGTGACTGATTCTTTAACAGTGGCTGTGTCCCAATTCTTTATGAAGGTGATATCCCAGAGGATGCTGACACTTGTAGGGCGGAGCTTAACGTCATGCCCTCATTAAGTTATTGGGGGAGGTGTTAAAGGCCACCAAAGGTTGCCCACCCGATCCCATTTCTCTAGCAGCATGTATTCTCATTATTTTACACACAATGTAATGCAATCTAACTAGATTTTTTAAATGGTGCAAAAGTTGCTAGGGTAGTGTGGGTTGTTGCCAGGGTGTTGCTAAGCTGTCCTGGGATGTTGCTGGGTTGTTCTGGGTAGCTACATACTCAAAAAGGGCCCAGATGAGGCTCGGATCCTTTCTTCAGTGCAAGTCTATGGATTTTTTTGCCCGTTTTATCATATGCCAGGTGAAAATTGAGTCTGATCCCCATTGTAAGCCACATTTTTTGAGGTATCATTGTGACCTGTGATCAGAAGGGTCTTCCGGGCAACATATTTAAATTTAAAGGGGGTCTGTATTCCCGTCAATAATATAATTAGATCAAATATGCCTCGAATCAAGTCAGATGAGACTCCCATCATACCCTTAGGAAAATGTTGGCAGTCACAAAGTGGCTGAGATTCAAGCATATATGTGTGATAAAAAAAAATGAGGTGGGGTCATGGCATCATTTCAAGTTCTATACAGGTGAGCAGAATTTTTAGATGACTTCATGATCTAGTTTTTCAAGGACAAAAAATGGAGTCAAAGTTTGGAGATTCAGTTTACCAACACATTGATTTGTTGTGTTGATGCTTTTGGATCTAAAAGTGTCTAATTTATTCAGATCACATGTAATATGCATAAAAAAGACAGACATTTTTAGGACCATGTCGTTCAATCCGTACGAAAGCAATAAGATAACGTAGATACAAATGGCAGGTTTAGAGGGATACCCAATGTCTTACTATACATAAAGGACCGAACACATCTGAAGTAGACTCTCAGGAGAACTGTTAAGAGTTACAGATATTTTAAGCCACCTCTACTGGGGCTGTGATTTTTTTTCCTGATACCTAATTAAAAACATTAATAATGATGCTTTATCTGGTGTTCAATTTTCAGCCCTATTAAGGCTGCTCCCATTTGGGTTTGTCATTGCGCTCACAAATAGGTCACACCAAAGTCTCAAAGTTGGAGGAATGTCTCCAGGTATCATTCGCCGATATATCATTTACCATTCTATCTTTTGAATTGTAATGACATGAAGTTCTACTTTCGTTCTCCACATCAATTGATGAACGAATTCTATTTTTGGGATATATGTTGAGAATGATCTTTACAGTATGACTGAGAACTCATTTATACAATCAAAGCCAACTGCCAGTGAAGCTAAATTTATTTAGTTTACTATCATTCAGCTACTTTTTACCATAATAATTGCACTAATACTAAATTGTACTACAATTTACTGTATTATAGTATTGTATTGCACCGTTCGTTCCATTGTACAGTTATGCTATTCTACTTGCATTACTGTACATTTCACATATTGTGTATTGCATAAGATTTTTCATTGTACACACATTTTACTTCTATGCTACAGAACTATTATTTGCAGAAAAAGTAACTGGCAATATTGTGTCTAAAAAGTTACTTATATTACAGTATAATTATGTGCAAGCATGGGTTAGTTTTATTTATCACAGTCAGATTATCACACATATGGTGTCCCAGTAAAGGGTAGCACTGTAACCGGTATAAATATATAAAATAAATGTAAAAATGAGTGAAGAAAAAAACCCAACAGTTCTATTATTATAAAAAATACTTCATTAGTAAAGGCAAAAGTGGGGTCAAAAATCTAATAAACTTTCTGCAAATTCAGAAAAAAAGACATCTGATTATTATATAGGACCAAAACAACTCAGTAGTAATACTTGTTAATGAATGGCTAGTCACATCTTTATGTGGGTGAATTATCAAAAAATACTGTGGCATTTTATCTTGTCTTTGGCAAAACGTTGCATGTTACAGAGAAAGCAAAGTTCGTTCATTTATGTTTTCATGGAGAACTGGTTTCTGTTGCTTTTGTTTCAGTCCCAGCTGTCTCTTCATTCACCTCAATCTTCATCAAGGTAGGAGGCAAACCCACAGGGGTCGATGGAGAGTTCAGCAGGTCACACTCAAAATTCTTAAGCAGATCTGATGATAAACCTCGCATCGACCTTTCCGATCGGTCAGGATGATTCTTCAGCTCGAGGATTGGCTTGACGGGACGTTTCTGCAGCAGCTGGGAATCGAAGGACATGCCGCGGAAAAACTTCTGGCTTTGGAAGTGCTCCAGGCACCGTAAGCGACGCGTGGGGATCTTGCATAGAAGCTACATTTGGACAAAGTCACAGAGTGTTTTAGGTTTGAGTATGTGCGTAAATAACAGGGTTGTGCTCCATTCAGAACTGAACTGAGAATCCCTGAATTTTCCAATTTAATTCCTGAATTTGATTTGAAGTAGCAAACAGAATTGTAATTTAAATTTGAAGGAAGTAGAATTAAAATTCAAAGAAATTCATATAAATGCTGCAAGTGTATTTTTTAATTATACATTTTCAGTATGAATTACCCATAAATTATATCCTATATATATACACTCACCTAAAGGATTGTTAGGAACACCATACTAATACTGTGTTTGACCCCCTTTCGCCTTCAGAACTGCCTTAATTCTACGTGGCATTGATTCAACAAGGTGCTGAAAGCATTCTTTAGAAATGTTGGCCCATATTGATAGGATAGCATCTTGCAGTTGATGGAGATTTGTGGGATGCACATCCAAGGCACGAAGCTCCCGTTCCACCACATCCCAAAGATGCTCTATTGGGTTGAGATCTGGTGACTGTGGGGGCCATTTTAGTACAGTGAACTCATTGTCATGTTCAAGAAACTAATTTGAAATGATTCGAGCTTTGTGACATGGTGCATTATCCTGCTGGAAGTAGCCATCAGAGGATGGGTACATGGTGGCCATAAAGGGATGGACATGGTCAGAAACAATGCTCAGGTAGGCCGTGGCATTTAAACGATGCCCAATTGGCACTAAGGGGCCTAAAGTGTGCCAAGAAAACATCCCCCACGCCATTACACCACCACCACCAGCCTGCACAGTGGTAACATGGCATGATGGATCCATGTTCTCATTCTGTTTACGCCAAATTCTGACTCTACCATCTGAATGTCTCAACAGAAATCGAGACTTCAGACCAGGCAACATTTTTCCAGTCTTCAAGTGTCCAATTTTGGTGAGCTCTTGCAAATTGTAGCCTCTTTTTCCTATTTATAGTGGAGATGAGTGGTACCCGGTGGGGTCTTCTGCTGTTGTAGCCCATCCGCCTCAAGGTTGTGCGTGTTGTGGCTTCACAAATGCTTTGCTGCATACCTCGGTTGTAACGAGTGGTTATTTCAGTCAAAGTTGCTCTTCTATCAGCTTGAATCAGTCGGCCCATTCTCCTCTGACCTCTAGCATCAACAAGGCATTTTCGCCCACAGGACTGCCGCATACTGGATGTTTTTCCCTTTTCACACCATTCTTTGTAAACCCTAGAAATGGTTGTGCGTGAAAATCCCAGTAACTGAGCAGATTGTGAAATACTCAGACCGGCCCGTCTGGCACCAACAACCATGCCACGCTCAAAATTGCTTAAATCACCTTTCTTTCCCATTCTGACATTCAGTTTGGAGTTCAGGAGATTGTCTTGACCAGGACCACACCCCTAAATGCATTGAAGCAACTGCCATGTGATTGGTTGATTGGATAATTGCATTAATGAGAAATTGAACAGGTGTTCCTAATAATCCTTTAGGTAAGTGTATATATATATATATATATTATTGACATCTAATACATAATGCAAAAATAACATAATGGATGTCACCTCTATGAGCAGAAAGGCCAGAGCTGGACTGAGGTTTGCAGGCATGTCGTATGGATGCTCACTGACCCTGCTCATCATACTACAGTGGTCTGCTTCCGCAGGCAAAGGAAACTAAAAAATCAAAATAATAAAGAAAAGGCTCAGACGGTTTGAATAAGCAGCCTGTAGCACTTTCTAAACATCATCACTGAGATCTGCACATTTTTCCAGAGGTGATTTTGTGACACATTCATCAAGAATAATGCTCATCTTGTAATATGGCCTCTGGATATGTCTTACCCCTCCAGTGGCTAAAGCATAGATAAGAATACCAAGAGACCACCAGTCTGCAGCATGGCTGTACGGGCCCCCGCTCAGGACTTCAGGAGCTGTTTAATGACCGGATAATGTAATTAAATATCCATTTTTAGAGAAATAGCTCAGTTGCTTCGAGCTATACATGTCTTTAGTTACTGCCAGATACACTTGATGGTAAACACAGTCTTACTATAGAAATCCTATCCTGTTTAAAACGAGTTCAGATTCCAGCCTCACCCATGTACTGTATTGTGCCACAGATAGTAAATGCTCTATCCCCACGCTCAAGGCGGCGAGACAGCCCAAAATCAGTCAAGCGGACGTGACCTAAATGAGACAGCCTTAATATTTATATTCCAGAATTCCCTTTACCAAAAGATAAAAGAGTTGAGATTTACATCTGAATACAATCCAAAGACACAAAATACAGATATGATCATTTTCTTGCTATATGTGAAAATTATATCTATCTATCTATCTATCTATCTATCTATCTATCTATCTATCTATCTATCTATCTATCTATCTATCTATCTATCTATCTATCTATCTATCTATCTATCTATCTATCTATCTATCTATCTATCTATCTATCTGACAGAAAATGTTTATTAATAACCAATGATATTGTACAAATGTACATTATATATGATGGTGCATGGCTGTCACTGATGTTTCCCACAATGCTGCAGTCTGGATCAGCTTTACCTTTATCAGTCAGAAGGATGTTCTCCATCTGTTTAAGAAAAAAAAAAACATTTTTCATTGCATTTTATAGGGCTGAATACAAATTTTTAAAATATTTTTTTATATTTTTTAAACACAGAGTGGTCATATCTAAACATTCTAATATTCCTTGTTCATGTTCGATGTTCAACTTGAGACAACTTTCTGTCAGAAACCAGAATACATAAACATAGCAGTCAAACTAAATAAAAAAGCACTGTACAATATTGTAATACCTTCATATCCCTATGTATTATTCCGAAGTCATGCAAAAATCCTGGAAAGGAAAAAAGTGTGTAGTATATTACTTTGACTGTCATTGAACACCTGTGTGTGTGAAAATGACTCAAGACTAAACATCTAACAACACTCACCCAAGGCAGAGCCCAATTCAGCAGCAAACACGCGAACATCTCTCTCATCAAACCGGCCCTTCAGTGTCCAGTAAGTATACAGGTCTCCAGTGCTGCAGTAATCACACACTGAAGACAAACACACAGGAGTGAGAGAAAACATAAAAGATTAGAAAGACAATGTCACAGTAGACTGACTGGCCTGACCTTGAGGCCACCTATTATAGATCAAACTCTAAAGGGACTTCATTCAAGCATGATATGAACTGGAGCAGTATTTTTGAGTATATAATCACAAGCCAGTGACACAATTTCAGTCTGTCACAGGGTCACGGAGGGAGACTTTGGAAAGGAAGAAGACAAAACACAATGATTAAGTCTCCTGGCTTGCCCTGGCTGGTGAACGGACGTGGAGAGAAGAACATGGGGCAAAAATACATAGAACGAAACAGATAAATCACATGGAAAAGGACAAAATCAAATACAATCAAGTAGACCATTGGGCAGATCTTTCGAGACATATTCATAACCAATTATTTTCTACACATAAAATATTTTCCTAATATATATATATACATATATCGGGAAAATATTTCAGAATTAGGTAGTTAAATAAATATAAATTAATTAAATGCTTTATTTTTATATTTATTCAATTAAATATATATATATATATATATATATATATATATATATATATATATATATATTCATGATTAATTGTTTTCATATCTCTGGAAAATGTCTTATATGTAGTAAATAATTAGGTAAATTACTTAGCTTTTTATATATAAATATGCATATAATTGAGTATTTTATACTTTTTACATCTCATATATTAGAGTACAGATAGATGTTAAACCTGAAGAGAAACATTTTAAATTTAATAAAAATGTATTCGAATAGCATAAAACCCTTAGTGAACAAGCTAAAGATGACGGTGTTATAGAAAGGTAAAATAAAACACTTAAAGGGGCTATATGTAGGTATTTTCATGTGTTAATGGATTTTTTTTATTGCCAATGTGTGAACAGATAGTAACAAAACTTAAAAAACGAGACCTTCCCAGGTCGTCTATGAAAGCCTGTAGAAAGATTTTTATGTGAAGGCCTCGGGGCATTTTTTGCTGGGAAAAATTAAAAGGATGAGACATTTATGCGCTTCCGAGAGCATCACTTCCGTTCAATGACACGTGAAATGAATGTTTATACAATGTTCAGGAAAATGCAGAAAGAGCCATTCTGCACTGTAATGCCATTGTGTCATGCAAAGAAAATGGATTAATTCAAAATATAGTCTCATAGCCAGATCTTTTAGTCTATCTCGGATATTTCAGTTATAATCAGACTATCTGTAATTTTAATGACCTCGTGTTGACATGATGTCAGTTAATTGCAGAGCTGGTGAAAACATATCCACATCATCGCTACAATCAGATGCTTCCTTAATTGCTGCTTTCTAACCACTGTCGTATTTTTTTTTTTTGGGGGGGGGGATAGTTCACCCAAAAGTGTAAATTCTGTCATTCTGTCATTTACTCACCCTCATGTTGTTGCAAACTTGTATGAGTTTCTTTCTTCTGTTCAACACAACATAAGATATTTTGAAGAATATGGGTAACCAAACTGTTGATGGGCCCCATTGACTGCCATAGTATTTGTTTTTCTACTATGGAAGTAAATGGAGCCTTGGGCTTGTTAGGTTGCCCATATTCTTCAAAATATCTTCTTTTGTGTTCAACAAAAGACAGAAATTCATACAGGTTTGGAATAAAATGAAGGTGAGTAAATGATGACAGGATTTTCATTTTAGGGTGAACTGTCTCTTTAAGTTGTTGGCTGCAGTTCACTTAACAGCCACCGGTGTCACTAATAACAAGAGTTTCTGAATTCTACACAGAGCCTCTTTAAAGGGATAGTTCACTTTGAAATTAATTTTTGATATGTTTTAGCTTACCTCAAGGGCATCCAAGATGTAGGTGTCTTTGTTTTCCGCAGTAGTTTCAATTTTGATATTTTTAGGTCAAACCGTTCTTGTCTGTCAGTCATATAATGCAGGTCTATGGGGTCCACCTCAAAGAGCATACACAGAGAAGTCCAAATTAAACATGATTTAATGACTCGTAAATGTAAGTACACATTGATGGCCAAAGACACGAAACGAGCAGTTTGTGTGAGAAAACGAACAGTATTTATATCGTTTTTACCTCTTGTAACCACAGCCACGTCCAAGTGATCTGAGGGCGCGGGCGCGTCGGTCTGCGCAAGCGCCGGAAAGCGCCGGAAGGGATCTCTCGCGCGGTTGCGAAAAAAATTCAACATTGTTTGTTGATATATCGAAATCGTCTTCCATCGCGATTTCCTATATATCTAAATATGTTTAGATCTTCACAGTGAAAGGTAACACTTCCGAAATCTCTGTGTAAACAATGAGTGACGTACACGCGCGAGAGATCACTTCCGGCGCATGCACAGACCGAAGCGCCCGCGCCCTCAGATCACTTGGACGTGGCTGTGGTTACAAGAGGTAAAAACGATATAAATACTGTTCGTTTTCTCACACAAACCGCTCGTTTAGTTTCTAAGGCCATCAATGTGTACTTACATTTACGAGTCATTAAATCATGTTTAATTTGGACTTCTCTGTGCATGCTCTTTGAGGTGGACCCCATAGACCTGCATTATATGACTGACAGACAAGAACGGTTTGACCTAAAAATATCAAAATTGAAACTACTGCGGAAACAAAGACACCTGCATCTTGGATGCCCTTGAGGTAAGCTAAAACATATCAAAAATTAATTTCAAAGTGAACTATCCCTTTAATTTCTTTTCAGTAAATAAAATGATTGCTATTAAAGCCATTATTTCTGAAGAGTCTTTAGAAAGCAGAATGAAAAATGAAATATTGTATGTGGTGTGACTCACTGATGAAGAGATTGCTCTGGCTCTGCCAACAGTCCCGGAGACTGAGGAGGAAAGGATGCCTGACTTGTCGCTACAACGTAACAGTTGACAACACAAAATGAGATGGACATGAGTGCAGGCGCTGAGAGGACATGAGAGTAAACTCTAATGGAATGAACAACACAATTGAAGTATGAAATATGTGCATGCTTATAGGTTATTGACTGAGAGGAAGTCAGTGTTGTCCATGTATCACTGGCCCGGTTAGAACCAGATCAGGCGAGCCATAGCCGACAGAGAGCGCAGCGGCGCAGTGTGACTCACTTGAATTATAACCTCCTCTTTGGACTGCTGGAGGACTCCATGTCTCAAAACATCAGCCTTGGGTAAAACCTAACCAACAGTGACTCAAGAAATTCTGAAGTGAAGAAGGCGTACCAAACACATAACATTTTAAAAAATGAAATAGAATGATAGAGACTAGAACAAGGCATGAAAAAAATCACCTTAATAGCATAGGTCTCATCTTTAGACAGGTCCTTCACCTTCAGGATTGGACCAAACGAACCTTTAGCTATAAAACCAAGAATCTGAGAAGAGAATCATTAGTTACAAAAAGAAAAAAAATCACAGTATTTAAAGGTTCCCCATGTGAAAAAGAAGAGCACACAATTATATTGAATGTGCACTTGTGTCGTACTTCAAATCTTAAAAGTATATATTTTTTGACAACTGCACTTGAAGATAGTATAATATTAATGAAATAAAAGGCCACTAAGTATACTTAAAGAGAGTGCACTTTCTTGACTATGTTTCTAAACACTTTTTGAAAACACTTAAAAAAGGCACTTTGTAAAAATGTCAAATTAAAAGTTTTACTTTAAAGTACATTTTAAATCATTATGTTTTGATAATCTTTTGTTATGCTTTAAGGAAGTTCACTTATTTTGATGTGTTCACTACCACACTAAAGTACATGTCAAGTACCTGATTATAATAGTAACCGACCGTAGTGTGTTATTTGATATTATTACACGGCTCTCTGAAATACTTGATTCTGATTGGTCAGTTGCAACATTCTGATGTCAGTTATGCTGTATAATGAACGCTCATTATATCCGAGAAGTCACACAAGTAAAACACTTCACGTCGGGGTCCTGATCACATTGTCAGGGTTTATTTTGCCATTGTCCATTATTTAGATGTATATTTTATGTTTTATAAATGCACTAAATTAAAACGTCATTGTTACAAATGTGTTCATTACAAATATATTTAAATACATGTCAAGTTTCAATAGAAATGTAAAATATAATTTATAGTGCTGTCAAATCGATTAATCACATCTAACATAAAAGTTTGTAATATTATACACACACACACACACAATTATTTATTCACAAACTTTTATGTTAGATGCGATTAATCGATTTGACAGCACTAATATTTCACCATAAATATTCTTCAGTACATTTGGCAGTACACTTAAACCATATTTCAAAGACAACAGAAGTAAATACACATTTAAAAAAGGTTCAAACACTCTTAAGGTCAACTAATTGCATTTCCTATAAATTTGAAGTGTGATACATTTTCATTTAATTTCAATCGACAATTAAGTGTCTATCTTAAGTGTCTATCTTTTAAAAGTGTAAATTATTTCTGAAATAACTACTATTTTTAAAAGTATGCTAAACAAGAGACAGTTGACACAAAATTGAAATGGTAATCATTTAATCACCCATATGTCGTTCCAAACCTGTATGAATGTTTCATCTGTGGACTTTCATTCTTGAAAATGTCTCTTTTTATGTTCTACAGAACAAAGATGGGTTTGGATTTTTGGGTGATTATGTCACATTTTTAAAGGATTTTATGACTAGTGCCATATAACTACCTGTAAATGCATGTGTCCAGTAAACCTGTGCGGGAATTCTGGCAGGAAAATGGAAATAAAGCCCGGCAGTGTCCACTCTAGACGAGGCCCCTCAGGGTTTGCGTCTGAGGGCCGAGATCGCTCAGAGATGGGGTATTCTCTGTGCTGGGCGCTGTGATGAACAAGCGGAGCGGAGAGAGACAGGAAGCCCTGATGACATGACAGGGATCTCCTCTTCACCAGTGATGATAATGATGATGATGATGATGATGATGCCTGGAGTGAAGAGGACATCACTGATAAACAACTGTACAAAATCACAAACACTTATGATAACATATAATGCTTAACAGATCAGTATCTGGTGTGCATTTAAACCAATGCAATGGCCCCGAAAAGACAGGCTATACATTTAAAATGTATGAGTGATAGTGCATTATATAGCAAAATATAAAATTAAGGGGCATTTCAAAATCGCAGTGAATGTGATAAACTCTTATAGGCTACTCTGCAGTGAAATAAATTGTTGGACCAAATTGTATGACAATACTCAAATGAAAGTTTATAGTATGTTTTCATTATTTTCTACGTTTCTACATAGATTTTTTTTAAATAACTAATAATCTGTAAATCATTGTGTAATGTTATTTTACTGTAATTTTGTGCGTAGTTATTTTATACGTCATGATTGTCAATATCATCCAGTGTGGTTCAATGGAACTATCGATACCAATGAAGAACCTTTAGATTTAAGAGTGTAGGCCTATGTCATCATTATTATCAATATCCTCTGGTGTTACCTCTTGTAAACCATTCTCATAACAGTAAACACATTTAATTGAATAACACATGAGAATACTGAGAGCCGCATGTGTCAATGTAATCTGTATATCATTTTGCCTCATGAAATGTATATTTTAGCCTCTATTTTAGACTCACGAAACTGCAAAGCACAATCAATATTTAAATCAGACCCATGTAACACCCTGAATTTTTGTACAAACTATTGTTTTATAAATCATTGATGTGAGGTGTGTGATTATCAGAGTAGTAAACCCTCTTACCTTATTTTTACTCCCGTCGCCGCCCATCACATTTTATAAACAAATAAACGACTTGCGATCTTCTTTAAAAATAAACCTATTTTCCCACAGAAGTCCGTCAATTAAACGTGAACCCCATGCCAGTTATTTATATCATCTTCTTTTCTTTTCCACACAAAATAACGCTGTTTTAACAAGCGCATTAGTCGGTGTCCAAACCTTTGATACACATTTAGGAGCGCCGCCCACTCATTAATATTAATATATAAACAATGATCACGTTACAGCAATGCACTCCATCATGCATCAGAAACGTCATAATCGATTAGTTACGTAACTCACATACTTAGGGACGCAACCTTTTTTTCTAGTGGCGTCTAATGCCCAGTGGAAAATCTATGTATTTGTAATAATGTACTGAACGATAAAATCATTATATCTAACTCTGGCAGCTACACATTTGACTATAATATTTTATACTAGTATATTAAATAATATAATACATCAAAGCTTTAAATAAATAATAGCTCATTGGGGCCTGCTTTTATTTTATTGACAAATATTAATTTACATGCTCAGTGACATTTAATACCTCCCATTATTTGTACAAAGAACAATACAAGAATCATTGCCTGACACAGTGAGGGGAAGAAAATCTAAATATAGTGCTCATTTTTAAACATTCAAGCTGAAATAACATTTCACTTTTGAAGCTGACAAGCAAAAATCAGCAGCATCTGAAGACATTATTGAAAATGATACAGAAGATAACCACAGATACAAAAATATCAGAAAATACTTTGTGTAAAAAGTGCCATAGTGTTAAAATTACAAAGTATTAACCAGACAGGCTGCAAAAATGGCATAAAACAAGATGCTTCCCATAACATCCGAAAACCCAACTGCTCTACAAGCAGAAGATTCTCAGTCCATTTGCTTTGTATTGCACTATGTAGTTAGAACAGTAAAACAGTGGCCAACATACTAATGTCAAGTACAAATTAATCTTGAGCTTAAATGGGGACAAATTCTTGATTTTTTTGGCTATTTCACGAATAATGGGCTAATATGGGTTTCTTTCCAGTATATGTGAATTTCAGATTTTTCTTGCTCGTGCGATTCAAGATTCGTCAAGATTCTGCCCAGCAAACACAAGTATCTCCTGATCCAGCAGGAGGGGCGTTACAATGCTCAAAACACAAAATAGAGATAACGGAAAGATAAACCGTTGAATTGCGGGACACAGTCTTCAGCTTCGAGGATGTTATCTTATTTAATAAAGATAGTTTAATCCTGTATGTAGATCATTTAAACATGTTGAAATGATTTATGGCACAACAGGAGCACATAAAAACAATGTTAGGTGTACAGCACTCGTATTAGACAGTAGAATGACAATCTCATCTTCTCATTGCCAGCAGTCATGGCTTGACCATGGCGCTGGTTCTCGTGTCCACACCCAGCGCGGACGTTTAAAGGCACCACTGGTGAAGATGAGAGGAACCTCGGAGTCGGACTTGATTTGTTTATCATAGTTCCCACCCCTTTCCCACTGACGGGGACTCGGTAAGGTACAGCAGCGCTTCTTCAAGACCAGCACCTACGTGAAGGAGCTTCACTTGCGGCGACTGAAGATGCTCTTTTTGCTGGAGCTCCTGTCAGCGGAGCTCAAGCCGATCAAAAGTCTTGCCTTCTCGTCCTCCACCTGCTGCTGGAGGCTGCTGTCCGCTTTCCCATCTGCAGCTTTACCTCGAGACTCGGAGCCTGAGGCTGGTTTCAACCGTAGCTTCTCCTTTATCATCTATTTATTTTGGGACAGAATTAAAACGGAATTTGAACTCTACTACAAGTACAACTACACTCTCGTATGTACTGTATTTAAACGTTACGTTTGGGACCGAGGTGTTTGAGAGGGATTACCTGTGCGACCAGAGCCTTACGACTGTCTCTCTTCACAGCCATCGCGAAGTCCAGCCAGGTCCAGGTGTTGTTGTGATACTCCAAACAGGGCAGAACCAGGTTCAGATCCTTCCAGTCTACACTGCTCTTCTCTCCCTATAGATACACCACAAGAGAAACCCATAGTCACACTAGGGAATGTGAACTGAATATTAACAATATATATTTGCAATGCTGTTTCTTTGAATTTTCTATTTAACAAACAAATGATGCAAAAAATGCATCACAGTCTCCACATAAATGTTTCCAAGACTGATAATAAGAAATGTTTCTTGAGGACCATATCAGCATATTGGAATGATTTCTGAAAGATCATGTAATGCTGAAGAAAATTTGGGTATCGTTTGAATTTTAGCGATTCGGATTCCACTCATCGATTCCGATTCTTATCGATTTACCCGATTCACACGATCGGAACAGTTTGAATTTAAGCTTTTATTCACATATAAACATTTATCAACTCACACATAAGTTTGGGTAAACTGATTGCTGGACGTGTGAGAACCAATGAGGTTCATTCTTGTGTGTTATGCAGCACGTTTGTACGGAGCCCCTAAAGGGACGTGGTGGTGAAAAAAAAAAATTGAGATGGGAGGAAAAATAAGTCAATGCTTTTGCGTTTAATAGTTATTTTGCAAAACATTTGCGTTCACCCGAGAAATTTTGCGTTCGCACACAAAACCTTTTGAGCTCTATGTGAGCGAACACAAAGTTCCTTGGCGCAACGCAAACGTTTTTTCAAGGGTAAGCAAGGTTTCTCAGGGGAACACAAAACGTATCGACAAATATTTTCCCTTTAGGGATAGTTCGCTGATCAATGCTAAATTCAATCTGTTCATCATATAAAGCGAAGCGATCGTGTCTCTTCAGAAAATTTATATGGATTAGTTTTACGAACTCTTTATGAACTTTTTGAAGCGTCAAAGTAGTAGTTGCGTAGCTGTCAATGGAGGGACAGAAATCCCTCAGATTTCATTGAAAACATCTTAATTTGTGTTCCGAAGATGAACGAAAGTCTTACAGGTTTGGAACGACATGAGGGTGAGTAATTAATGACAGAAGTTTCATTTTTGGGTGAGCTATCCCTTTAAGAGAAGTCTTTTAAAAACATTATAACAATAGCCAGGACCAACCTTGTAACTAACGCAGAGGGGAACCTGGGGAATCTTGATGTAGATGAAAGAATTATTCATGGCTGCTCTCTCTTTCATCTTATCAATGTCATCAACAGGATGCTGAATGGGGGAGAGATTTAGAGGTAAGATAACTTAAATATCGTTCATAAGTAGACACTTTAACTCTCATCTCTTTAAAATAAAAATACCTCAGGTACTTTGCGAAAAGACCTCCTGACTCCAGCGGTTCGATTTAACCCTTGCGTGACCCCTTTCCCGGGTCCAAGCCCTCCTATGGAGTCTTCAGAGAGCTGCCTGGGTTTCACGACACCTGTGATTCAAGAAGAAAATAAGCCTTAGGGCCGTTTCGCACAAAACACGTTTTTGCACAAGGACACAGATCAGTGGAACAAAAAAAAAAAGCACAAGGTCTAGTTTTATTTAAAAGATTAACTTCTTTTAACTTGAGCTCCACCCTTTTAGAAAACCATGTCACATGCGAGACTCTGCAAAAGAGATGCTAGCGCAACAGTCAAACAGGTCTGTCTAGCTGTGGGTATTTACATTGAAAAATAATGGAAAAGAAGTGTAGTAGAATGGAAAAATCATGTTCTGTGTGATCGGCCCCTCGAAACTCCACAATGTGCACGAAAGTCACCCTGAAGCAATATCAGATACAAAACACTTCAATGTCAAAGGAGCAATGAGCTTTTAATAGCCAAGAATGGGCCATCAGTGTGGCATAACATCAGCAGACAGCAATCTAATACCCTCACAGGAGTACAGAGGGGGGGAAAAAAGAGAAATGGAGGAAAAAGAATCGATGTAAACTGATATTGATCGGCATGGGGCAAGCTATTGATGTCAGTACAGCGAGTGGTTAAAACAGGAATGTAAAGAAAAAGAGTGTATCAGTTCACCAGAAACAGAATGGCGTAGAACAGTGGTACTTAAATTGACTTAAATACGGCTTTCCAAGAGGATCTGTTTTTTTCTCTCTCCAGTTCTTGTACTTACAAATTAATTCTAATGAATTAGATTTTTTTCAAGATATCTGCATAGGATATAGGTGAACATTGTTGAGTATCACAACACGGGTGCTCATGGCAAGAAAATCAAAAGTTCACAAACCTGTGGTAACCATTCTGAACTTGTCTTCCTCATCCCCAACTTCCTCTTCTTCCACATTTCTTCCGGGGAAGAAAAAACCCATCATCCTCTTGAAGAACTGGTACATGAGCTGAATGGTGAGTGGTACCACATTTACCTACAAATGAAAACATTTTTCAGAAAGAAGAGGACAGCTATATGTGTGATTAAGATCCTCCGGTGTTATGATGTAAACAGCACTGGATTTCATGGTAGTGACCTCAAAGTGCTCTTTGACGGAAATCCCTCCAACCGGGGGGCGGACCTTACTGAAGATGCGTAGGGCAAGTTGGCGTCCTGATTGGCAGGGGCTCTGAGGACGCAGAACCACCTACAACACAGAAGATTATCACAATTACACCTACTTGACTGAAGTAGTTGTATTTGTTTAGATGCAAACCATGAAACAAAGGAAAACATGGACATGGTTACATAACCTGCCGGTCAAAGCCAACCGAAAATGACTGGACGAATGTAAAATATAAAATAAAAAGACAAACGACGTTACAGAGGAAGGCAATGCCAATGCCATTAGCCTGGAATATCAA